ATAAAATAAAGAGCAAATAGAAATTTTCGAATTGTTTCTCTATTTTAGTTTAACGTCATAAGAATTATTTTCCAAGTGTTTAACCATTTTGTCGGATTTAATATATATTTTCAATTAATTCGGATTAATGCCCTCATCTTTCATATTATTACGACGACGTTGCCAGCGCTATACCCCGGAATCTTCTTCAGGTGTCTGTCGATTTGGGTAACTGAACACTTTATTTAATCTACGGGAATAGGTTGTTCTCCTTCCGCTTTACATTTTTAGTGATATCGTGTCATGTACAATTTTACTACTGTTATTGTTAGTTCTGTTTCCATTGAGTATAGTCTTGTACTATGCCACCGCTGGTACAATGACATAGTTTATTAAGCGTTGGTTTGTGAATATCATTTGTGAATTACCGAAAGATATTCCAGAGATATAGATCCAAGAATGTTTTCAAAATGGCAGCATCGTCTCATAATGCATATAGTTTTACAGGGCACTTTGATGGTGACAGTAGTCGATAATGAATGGTTGCATAACGTACATTGCTTCAGAAGGGAACACTTTGAAGGAGACAGAAATCAATAGTGAAATGCTCCATCGACTCATGATGTACATAGCTTCAGAAGGGAACACTTTGAAGGAGACAGAAATCAATAGTGAAATGCTCTATCGACTCATGATGTACATAGCTTCAGAGGGGAATACTTTGAAGGAGACAGAAATCAATAGTGAAATGCTCCATCGACTCATGATGTACATAGCTTCAGAGGGGAACACTTTGAAGGAGACAGAAATCAATAGTGAAATGCTCCATCGACTCATGATGTACATAGCTTCAGAGGGGAACACTTTGAAGGAGACAGAAATCAATAGTGAAATGCTCCATCGACTCATGATGTACATAGCTTCAGAAGGGAACACTTTGAAGGAGACAGAAATCAATAGTGAAATGCTCCATCGACTCATGATGTACATAGCTTCAGAAGGGAACACTTTGAAGGAGACAGAAATCAATAGTGAAATGCTCCAACGACTCATGATGTACATAGCTTCAGAAGGGAACACTTTGAAGGAGACAGATATCAAAAGTGAAAAATGCTCCATCGACTCATGATGTACATAGCTTCAGAAGGAACACTTTGAAGGAGACGAAATCAATAGTGAAATGCTCCATCGACTCATGATGTATATAGCTTCAGAAGGGATCACTTTGAAGGAGACAGAAATCAATAGTGAAATGCTCCAACGACTCATGATGAAGCATAGCTCATAGAAGGGAACACTTTGAAGGAGACAGAAATCAATAGTGAAATGCTCCATCGTCTCATGATGTACATAGCTTCAGAAGGGAACACTTTGAAGGAGACAGAAATCAAAATGCTCCATCGTCTCATGATGTATATAGCTTCAGAAGGGATCACTTTGAAGGAGACAGAAATCAATAGTGAAATGTTCCAACGACTCATGATGTACATAGCTTCAGAAGGGAACACTTTGAAGGAGACAGAAATCAATAGTGAAATGCTCCATCGACTCATGATGTACATAGCTTCAGAAGGGAACACTTTGAAGGAGACAGAAATCAATAGTGAAATGTTCCAACGACTCATGATGTACATAGCTTCAGAACGGAACACTTTGAAGGAGACAGCAGTCAACAGTAATTTCTTCTTTCATCTTGTCATTCCACGAATGAAATCGTCACACCTCGTACTTTGTGTTTTCTTGATAGTGAATGTGAATATATCTCACGTTCCATAAACCTGTATCTAAAACGTAATATTTATGCAGTGGTCTAGAATTTCTTTTTATCTAAGCATTTTTGATATGGACTGCTTATTTTCCTGTCTAAACAGGTTTGTCCTTCTATTATTTACGTAATAGAAATGCGTACTTCTCTAATAATAATGGTAAGGATAATATTAACCGTTTCTTTATATTCAGCATACATTGACCGAGCAGTAGTGCTTCTGTCTGCAGAAATTTATAAAATCTTTTTATCAAAGTCCAGTAGCTGTTATTTTTTCTTTCCAGTTTCCTTCCTAACTTCTTGTTTCAAAAATAGTGTAGAACGTCGACATCTTGATTACGCCATTGTTTTCTCTTCGAGTTAAATGTGTCTTGTAAATTACGGCAAGGGTGTATTGAGGTTGGGGGAAACGCCTAACCGATAGCTCTCCCAACCGCCACCCGTGTAATAGGCAGAGAAAGGAAAGAGACAGGTGGTAAGAAAATGGCATTTTTTCAGAAGACACAGCAACTTTAGGAAGAAAATGCCCACGGGACCGACTTCACAAGACACCGAGTTTTGCCAACTGCATACTTCTGGTTTTCCCGTCGCTTTTATTGACAGAAGACAGCTGACAGAAACGCTGATCTAGACAATTTGCAGAGTGGCCCATATCTGAACATGCCAAGCTGTTTCGCTGCTAACGGGAAAGACCCGGATCTAAATGGTTTTGACAGACATGGCCGCATGCGATCCGGGGCCTCTTTTTCGTCTTTACTAAGGTGCGTTCGCCATACTCCACCTGATCTCTTGTACGCAGATACGACAGCTTGGAACAGGTTTCTTCATCGAGTGATTCTCTGAAGGTGGTTGTGATGGGGGACTGGTTCGTGTTCCTCCACCTCGTCCCCATGTGATTCTGCCTCCGTTGGATCATCTGGCCTACCCACGCTCACGATGATTTCCTTCTCCCTTTCCGACATATCATCTTCACTACTTGCTGAACTTGAACTCGGAAGGACGAAGGTTCCTGAAATGACGTGGTATTCCGTCCACCAAGACTAACAAGTCCAGTAATACGTCACTTTCTGAAAGTTGTTGTACGACGGTTGTGTGGGGCCTTTACCCACACAAGGTCTCTCACCTTGTACACTTTGTGGTCCACTTCAGATATCATTGGAGGTACTGAATCAATCGCTTTAAGCCGAAACTCGTATCTGATGGTTTTGACTGACATGTCCCGGATTTTTTTTGTGTCTTTATTAATGCGCGTTTACCACAACGTGATATCCACTTTAACTGTTTCTGCTGTTGCGAGTCCTCAACTGATGTGATTTCTGTTTTCTGTGGCAGTTCTTTGTCTGTGATCCTGTAGCGCACAAGTCGACAATGTTCGCGGAAGGATGGTCCACGTCAAGATTCATAGGCTTCACTATGACCATTTATTTTCATTATGATTAGAGAGTTGTTATTTGTAGACGGTGTAAAAACGAGAGCTATTTTAAAATATAGTAACTTCTATTGTACGCGAAGACTAAATTCAAGAGACGTTAAAGTGTATGCGCGCATTCGCACAAAAGAGCAGAAGCCAAAAAAAAAAAAAAAAAAACAAAAACAAAAAAACAAACAAGCGTTTTAGTCACGTGGCGGGAAATTGACGGGAAGCTTTATATAGACATGATACCCTTCTAAAGAGAGAGGGAGAGAGAGGGAGGGGGAGAGGGAGGGAGAGAGAGAGGGAGGGAGAGAGAGAGGGAGGGAGAGAGAGAGGGAGAGGGGGGCAGACAGACAGACTCATACGAATACACTTAGAGATACGTGACTAAATGAAAAAGAGCGTCACACCTAAAGTAAAGAGAGGAAAGAGAAAAGATATTTTTCAAACAAAAGACAGCACTGTTTCTAAAGGTATAAATACTCTGTGTGTATGTGTGTGTGCGTAAGTGTGTGTGTATGAGAGAGAGAGAGAGAGGGAGAGATAGAGATAGAGATAGAGAGGGTGGGGAGAGTGATTGAATGATATCTAGTGAAACTGAAACCTAAAATCTAACATGTAAAGATGGAGAAAGTTACAGAGAGACGGAGATCTACAGAGGAGCGGATATTCGGAAATTTAGAGACAGTCGTCTGTGGAAGGGCAGACATTTACAGACGCCTTTTTAGATGACAAAGGCACGGGGGCCCTAAAAGAGTGATATAAAGACAAACAGATTTAGACCCCCCACACACACAGAGGCAGACATTTAAAGAGATATATTTAGAGAATAATGTATATATATATATATATATATATATATATATATATATATATATATATAGTTAATTATGAAAAACCGTATGGGTAATCCCAAGAAGGATGTAAATCCATATATATATATATATATATATATATATATATATATATATATAAATATAAATATATATATAAATATATGAATATATAAATATAAATATATAAATTTAAATATATATAAATATATATATAAATATATATATATAAATGCGTATCTGTCAAAATCATTACAGTATATATATATATATATATATATATATATATATATATATATGTGTGTGTGTGTGTGTGTGTGTGTGTGTGTGTGAATTAAGGGCTGGCTGACTCTCACTTTTGAGTATACCTTCGGATAGACCAAATAAATTACATCACCTATTAACGCTACAGGTAGTGTAAAAATAAAATCTAAATCATTCAACTGTAGAGGAAGACAAACGACAAACTGAAATAATAATCATTGCGAGAAAAATCTAGAATCTATATTGGGAGCAAACCACCTGCATAATGACAGAAAATGAATTGAGTAGCTACACTAAAATAGAAAGGGGACAAAGACAAGGATGTACCTTCTCTCCAGATCCTTTCAACCGAGCCTTAGCAAAGGGAGAAAAAAACTGCTAAGGGCTCACAGAGGAAAGGTAGTTAGAAATTTACTTGACCCCCACTCCACTGAGTCAGGTTATGACACAAGGTCAGTTTTTAACGTGGGGAACCGGGCCGCTGGTCCAAGCTGGTCTTAGCTGGTCATATCTTGTGTAAGCTGGTCTAAGCTACTCATAGCTGGTCTTGGCTTGTCATAGCTGGTTCAAGCTGGTCAGAGCCGGTCCAAGCTAGTCGTAACCGTGATACCACCAGACGGATCCCTGTGCCAGGAAAGGTAGTATTGGAGATCCATGATCGCCCATATTCACTCTGAAGAAGAAGATACATACCCTATCGTTTGTTAATCTAATTAAATTACATAATGGTCCGAATTTTAAAGGCCTACGGCCATATTACGTTGAAACATCAGTTTCCGCGCGGTCACAAAAGTTAAGCAACGTCGAGCCTGATCAGTCCCTAGATAGGTGACTGCTTGGGAATACCAGGTGCTGTAAGCATAGATATCTCAAGGATAATGGCTTGGAATTGTTAATCGGTGAGCCGAGTTTCAATTCAAGTCGGGCTTGTTATATTCACATACGCGCAAATAACCTTGTGAAAATCATGAATCCAACTCTTCTCTCTCATGCTATAGGTTAATTAGTAAATTTTGTATCACTAAAGCCGTTATGTAAAAATAAAATAAAATAGAATAATTAAATTAAAATTAAGTAGAAAATATTTGGATTTTGGCATTAAATAACCCCCAGAGGTGTTGATATGCCGCTAAACAAGAACAACCAGCCAACCAACTTAAATTCAATCTCTGGGTCTGTAATGCAAAAAGTCATACTTGATGAAAGTATGACTTTTTGCAATACAGATTACAGTGGATGAGATAATCGATATTTTATTGAGTGTGGCTGATCATAGCTGTCCATCGCTTCTTATCTTTTATTCTCTAGCATGGACAGAATGATGAGAACAATCTACCCAATGGATTTTATGGTGGACAAGTACCTAATCAAGGCCGGAGAATACAACAGATGAAAGGCTGGCGCCATAAAAACAAAGTTTAAGGCTGAGCAAATCAGAGCGTAAATATTGCTTCATTTTCTTTAGTATTTGAAGTTGACAATGAATTTTACATTGTCTTGCAACAGGCTGTATTTATTTGGTTTGGTTTGGTTTATTTTGTTTTACGGCATATCAACATCAATGGCTTATTAAATGCAGATAAGTTTTTAGGATGGTATGAAGAGAATATGTATCAGTTTGTAGATCAGGTTCCATAGACGTATTTTTGTAAAGAGGGTTTTTGTCAAGAGTCAAATATATTGATGGTAATATTTTCTTTTCTCAAAAATGTATTGTTCCTCTTTTTTTTCTTTTCTTTTTTTTTTTTTACAAAAAATGTATTGCTAATAATATTTTTTGTTTTTTTTAAATGTATTGCTGGTAATTTTTTTTTTCGAAAATATATTGCTGGTATTTTTTTTGTTTACAAAAATATATTGTTGGTAACATTTTTTTTTTCAAAAATATATTTCTGAAAAAAACTTTTTCTTTTTAAAAATGTATTTCTGGCCCTATTTTTTTCAAAAATCTGTTGCTGCTAAAATCTTTTTCAAAAATGTATTGCTGATATTATTATATTATTATATTGCTGTGTTTTTTTTTCAAAAATGCATTGCTGTGTTTTTTTTCAAAAATGCATTGCTGTGTTTTTTTTTCAAAAATGCATTGCTGTGTTTTTTTTCAAAAATGCATTGCTGTGTTTTTTTTCAAAAATGCATTGCTGTGTTTTTTTTTCAAAAATGCATTGCTGTGTTTTTTTTTTCAAAAAAATGCATTGCTGTGTTTTTTTTTCAAAAAATGCATTGCTGTGTTTTTTTTTCAAAAATGCATTGCTGTGTTTTTTTTCAAAAATGCATTGCTGTGTTTTTTTGTCAAAAATGCATTGCTGTGTTTTTTTTTCAAAAATGCATTGCTGTGTTTTTTTTCAAAAATGCATTGCTGTGTTTTTTTTCCAAAATGCATTGCTGTGTTTTTTTTCAAAAATGCATTGCTGTGTTTTTTTTTCAAAAAATGCATTGCTGTTTTTTTTTCAAAATGCATTGTTGTGTTTTTTTTTCAAAATGCATTGCTGTGTTTTTTTCAAAAATGCATTGCTGTTTTTTTTCAAAAATGCATTGCTGTGTTTTTTGCATTGCTGTGTTTTTTTTTTCAAAAATGCATTGCTGTGTTTTTTTCAAAAATGCATTGTTGTGTTTTTTTTCAAAAATGCATTGCTGTGTTTTTTTTTCAAAAATGCATTGCTGTGTTTTTTTTCAAAAATGCATTGCTGATAATATTTTTTTTGCAAAAATGCATTGGTGGTAATTTTACTATAAAAATCTATTTTTATAATTTTGAGCACAGTTTGGAAGTTAAATATTTGCGCATAGCTGAGACTCTAACAGGTACTACCACCCCAGATAAGGTTGGACCTGGAAGCTACAGCAACTATGAGGTGATTCCACGTTCTTCAAAACCTCCCAATCAGAGTACTTGCTGCCAGATGTAGTTTGTCATCATACCCAGGACGCAGTAGTTGTTTAGATTCTCAGTTCTGTTCGAGAAATGTTGTTAAAGTTTTCTAATAGGATTACTACAGCTATGGATATTTATGCTCAAAAAAGGCATCTCATGAGAGAAAAAAAAATTAATTCTCTATAAATCAAGCAGTGATAACAAATATAAACCAAAAAAAAAAAAAAAAAAACATCTCAGAGAATAAATAAAAATAGTGTAATCGAAAAATGAGGCCAAATAAAAAAGTCTTTATGATATTTCAAAGTTTTAACATACGAGGCAGTGAATTTAATGCTCTTGAAAAAGGTACAGCTCCCTCAAATCTTCCATCCTTCAGTCATGGGTGAACCAGACTCTTTAGCGGAGTTATCAACCAGTTTAAGAAAATGTAGGGATCACTGTCTTTTCCCTGTCTAAAAGATTAGGTTCTCTAGCCTTGTTCGTCAACCAGTTTAATAAAATAGTATAGATCATTCATATGTTACCATCTACCGGCTATGGGTTAAATAGCAACGTAGACGGGGTTTTCTAGCCTTGTTTGTCAACCAGTTTAATAAAATAGTATAGATCATTCATATCTTTCCATTTCCCAGCTATGATGGGAGATGGAAAGATATGAATGATCTATACTAATAATATTTCTTATTTTAAGCATTTCACGCCAAGCAAAGCGGGAGTGCTACTAGCACGTAAGGGGTTACAGAAAATGGGAGCAAGAGTAAAGAGGCGTGATAGAGGAAAGGATGAAGAGAAGGACGGGGAATTAGATCAAGGCATCTGGATATGTCGATTGACATTGCATTTGAATAGTTGGAGATTATAGCTATCAGGGAAGCAAGTAAGAGGTGGGGGGAGTTCCACAGACGGGAAGTGCAAGACTGAAGTTGGAATAAAAGAGACGGTGAATTCTGTTTTTTGGAACACTTGCTATAGGATATTGATTTTTTTTGTTCAAGATCATTCTTATACCAACTATGAATACCTATGTCATCAGCATAGACGCCCTCGTCATTGACATCGAGAGGGAAGTAAGAACGCTGTTTTCTATTAATAAATTTCTTTGGGTAGTATTTTTTTTAATCATTTCACCCCAAGCAAGGCAGTAATGCCACTAGTACGTAGGGGACTACAGAGAGTATAAGGGAGAGAAGATTTAGAATAGGAAGGATAGGAATAGACAAAAGATGAACAGGTTTGTATTTAAATTTCTGAAGATTGTAGTTACCAGGGAAGCAAGGAAACAGAAAGTACCTCAACGGGTGGGATGTATGAGAAAAGAAACTTGGAGTAGAAGTGGTGGTTGCATTTAACTATTTTATTTGAGTTATTGAACCTTACAAGCAACTTATTCCGCCATTAAGCTGTTAGAGCTAGTTCAGGGAAGAGATCAGCTTCCATGTTCTGCCTATATAGAATTTTTAGGCGCACCCATTGGGGTTCAAGAAGACAGAAGATGGTGATCAACATTGCATTTAAGTTTTTGAAGATTGTAATTAGCAGGGAAGCAAGGAACTGGAAGGCCCTTCCAAGGGGGGGGGAAGTGCAAGAAAAGAACATGTTGGAGTAGAAGTAGCAGTAGCACGTAGCTATTTCAACAGTAAAATGGTGGGACCTAAATGCCAATCTAGTAGCAAGCTTAAATACATGTATTTAGGGTACCAGGGGAAAAGCTCGTCAGAGTTGTTGCCATAAAAATATTTGTAGAGGGGGAGATGTGTCACGTCCGTGAGAAAGTGTGTGGTAGAGACGTCTGGTCAGGATCATTGACATTATAGACATTATCGACAATATCTATCGACATTATTATATTTGGCTTTTATTATGAATCTCTAGATGTACAGTAGGAGCACCAGACCGGATATGGCAACAGTATTCAATGCACGGACAAATGGTAGATTTGTAACTGTGCAAGATGGATTCTAACGAGAAAAATTATCTGGAACGACACCGTAATCCAATTTTCCTTGCAGTAGATGCAGCTATTGATTCAATATAGTCACCCCTATTTCATGACAATGGAAAACGTGAAGCCGTAAAAGGTGTAGTGTGTTGTTCTTCTCGAATCTAGCATTCGCCATGGCAGACAAAAAAAAAGGTTTTAAAATTAAATGAAATCAGTTTTGTTTTGAAGGTGCTAAAATTAGCTAACCATTTCTTGCCCCAGTTAACCACTGGTATGGGAGTTTTAAATATTGCTGTCTGTCACTTCCCGTTTTTATATGTGCAGCGTATAGTCTAGGAAAAGATTAAATAAACTAGGGCTCTCTTTTCTCCTTGTCGTACTCCTGATCTGTTTGAAATGTTTCCGTACTGTGATCCTTGCTGGACATGTACGATTTTATGACCCGATATAGTGCCACTATCAAATCTAGACACTCAGCTGCGTCAGAGCTTGGAAGGCGGTTTCTAATGAATTAAAAGAGGAAGTCCTTATTGATGTTGTCATCTATCGCTTTGAGGTCAACATAGCAGGTATATAATATTTGTTTGGTGATGTATGCGGTTTCCTGGAGTTAATTGATAACATCATTACACCAATTACCAGAAAGAAAATTAAACTGGGTTGAGAGAAACTGACTTTCATAGAAAGGTGAAAGCCTAGTCAATATAATGTCCATTAGTACTTTCACCATAATGCATCCAATTGTGATACAACTCTATGTATGAGGATCTTCAGTATTATCCTTCAGTTTCCAGGGTGCATTAAAGGCTCAAATATACCGCTCTTTTGTAGATGCGGTTCTGAATGAAGACTTCCTTTATGAAATTGAGAAACTTGTTTTTAAATTCGAGGAGAGAGTATGCTATTTTCAAAAGTTCAATCGCAATGTCAAGTGATGCTTTATTATTCTATATTTTATAGCTTTCTTGACTTCCTCTTCATAAGGTGTTTTTACTGTTTAGGTTTGTTTACAGATTTTGTAACGGTCGGATGTATATTG